GGGTCGGGTCCGGTCGGGTGTCGTAGCCGGTAGGTCGGGAGTGTTTTGGCTCAGCCCGCCCCGGTGAGCGCGGAGGGTGTGTGTATTGCGAGCTTGGGGAAAACTGTAGGCGCCTAACAGAATATCTGAGGCAGTTATGAAGCAAGTTAAAACATGGTTATAGCAGCACCTTATGTAACTGTGGTGCCTTTTATCTAAGCGTTTCTGAATTGCTTCAGAGAGAAGTTTTAGGTGTGCTTACCTTAATGGATTTGAGATGTTAAAAAAAGCACTGTTTGCTAAGGTGAGCTATGGCTCGTTTCACCTGAAGAACACACTGTGTTTCTCTTGCATCTTGTTTGCTTAATGTTTTATGGATATTACTTTTATTTTGTTGTTTCTTAACTAATGCGCATAGGAGGTGGCTGCACAGTAAATGTTACAGTAAATGTGTTGATCCTCAACTTGGGGTAACTAAAAGTATGTCCTTTTTAAGTCTGTCTGCAACTTTATTTGTCTGAGGCCTCATCATACAGATAAAAGTCTGCAAGGCTGGGTCCTTAACTGATTATGTGCAGAGCAGCTGCCTGGAAGATAGTTAAATAATCAAAGCAAGTAAGTGAAGAGGGCAAAATCCTTGGCTCTTGTTCATCCTGGGTGAAATGTATGGAGAAAACCCCAGAAAATAAAAGCTCTCTGTAAACCCTTTTAAGATTACTTACTCCTATTCTAAGGTGAAGTGCCTATTTGGTATGGAGTAAATGCATAATAAGCTGTAAAATCATGCTGCAAAGATGTACCAACTTGTGCTTCAAGAAAGAAGGTACCGAATTTTTTTATCTTCTGGTGTAGTTAAGGGGAAAAAGTTTAAAATAACGACCTAATGTGAAACAGCTCTGAGGTCTGTGGAAGTATTTGCCTGTCAAAGCACAGGAAGCTGCAGGGCTAGCTAGAACTTCACTAAAACTTGACTCACTTCAGATGAACTGCAGGGTTTTGTGGGCTTAACTCGGGAAGTAACTTTAAAATTTGCTCTTGAAGTAAAGGGATCTCTCAAATGTGTGTGTGGTGTGTTTCCTCCTTCCCCCCCCCCCCCCCATTTGGATGTGTACTGTTTTCTGTTTCAGAAGAACTTCCTCTGATCCTGTGTATGATAAAGGTTAATGTTGTTATATGCAAGTCAAATAGAAGAAGTTACAATGTTCTATAGGTTGCCCTGCTACAAATAGGAAAACCAATGACAGCTTTACTCCGACTTGGTCACTGTAACAGAAGGAATAGTTGTAAGGTAAGTACTTATACTTAAACCAACTTACTAGGGTAAACTTTAGATTAAACCTACTCCTGGAGTTTAACTAACAGTGCTTTGTAACAGTATTCCTAAGAGATGTGGCACAGTATCATGTGCACAAATACCATCTGTTAATACAGCTTATCCTGCTTTAGACAGCTTTTTTGTGCTTCCTATTAGACTTCTTGTTTGATGGTACTCAGAAGAAGAGTTCCAGCCATGACAGCTTTTGCACTTGTGAGTTGTCAGTATATTTATCTTGCCTTTCCTCTTCCCTCCCCCTTTGAAACTAGGTTTCTGCAACTAATGAAGTTCTAGTAAACAGCTGAAAGAAGATGATTTCTGTGAAGAAATCACATGTTTGTGCATGGATGTTCAGCACTTAAGGAACTGGGTTACCAGGGTTTTCTTAGCTGTTGGTATCTGCAGGGAGTGTAGAAGTCTTCTCCACACATGCAGGAATTGCCTTGGAAGGTATACAACTTTAGTTGGTACCTTCTTTTTCCACGTGTTCAGAGGGACACGTTCCACGGAGGAGCTCCTCCGTTCTTCAGGAGGGAGCTGACAACACAGGAAAAAAACAGCATGCTGATGTTGTGTGTGTATATATATGGAGGATTTCCCTCTTTGTAGATAAAAGGTACAAAAATGAGGAAACAGTTCCTTAGATTTTCATTCTTCAGTTGATCTAGGATAAATTCTTAAAGTTAATTTAAAAAAAAAAAAAAGCACTCACAATTGCTTTCCACCTTTGAAGCTTTCTAGAGGCTCCTTTCTCCAATCTGCCAGTGTTAAATGCATCCACCTAAAAGATCGCCTCCTATGTTTTGCACAGCCTGATGATAGTCTGCCTGGATACCCGTTATAGCAATACAGTTACTTGTTAAAGCCACATGACCCTTTGTCAGTGTTCAGACTTAGTTGTAACTGAACTGCTCTCTGTTTATCTAAACCCAGTTAATGTAAGACCATGAGATATGATCAGGAGAATAAATTTGCGTGTATACTAAAATATCGTGAAAAGATTCCTACTGAATTTTCGTAAGGTTGGTTCAGGCTTTTAAACATTCTATTCCTAAAATGATAGCCTTCGTTTTTCCAATTGTTCCTTTTTCCTTTCTCCTCACTCCCTGGGAGGAGAATAGGATGACTCCAGCATGTATTAGGTGACTCCAGCATAAATTCCAAATGTTCAGTCAGTCCGAAGTAATTCAATACAACGGCATGTGTCACTTCACAGAAGCCGACAGGTACTACTGTGAGTAAACCTGTCTCTTTCTTTGCTATCTGCCTTTGCAGGCAAAAGCTCTTGAGGTTAAGCCACAGGTAATTACTTTGGCCTTTAACCACTTAGTGTTCAAATTATCACAGAAGTGTTCTTGTCGTGTCATGCCCTGTCATAAGTATGACAAACTCTATTTCATCTCTGTTCATACTAACTGAAAAGGGGTGGTCTCTAGTTCACTCTTTTCCAGGAATATCTTTTATAGATTCCCTTCTTCCCCCCACCCCCCTGAGTTGAATAACTTTTGAAACACTATTAGAATTACAGATAATAATGAAGTTTCTTTAGAGACTTCAACTTACTTTAATTTGTTCTGGAGCTTTCCTTCTGTACCTTACCTCCCAAGGAGAGAGTAATGTGTTATAGGGAGGGAAATAAAGCTGCAGACATGCTTCAAAATGGTGGGTCCTGGGGCGTTTTTCCTCTTGTAAATAGAAGCGTGAAACATGTAGTGGTTTGAATAACTGTCTATTACTGTAGCGATGTAGTATGCTATAATACCTAGTCTATCTATAGAGAAAAGACTCTTGGCTCTCCTGGCTGTCTTAGCTTGTATATAACATATCAATAAGTCTTTGCATAGTACCAGGGTAAGTAAAAGAGACAGTCAGCACTCTCGGGCTGTGCTGGGACTGTGGAGCTATGTGCTGCAGCACACTCTTGTAACCTTGGCTGGGGCACTTACTGAAGTGTGCTACCACACGGTGTAACCAACTCCCGTTTGTTTTTCCAGACAAAGTTTAAATGATATTAAGTTAAGGTAAATGCTGGTGAGTTGCCTGTTTGGAAAAAACAGCGCAAGAATTAGCTTTTGTGTGTTTTTTAACATCATTATGATTCAGTTATGAAGTCACTTATTCCTATTTCTCTTTAGTAAATGGAACTTAAGCTTTATCTGCTAATTTGTGTGCTTTCATCAAGGAGTTGTCATGTTTCAGAGGATTATAAGTAAGCCACTATGGCCAAAGATGCTGCTTACCTTTTGCAAGCTTAAGCTGTCA